GTTCTAAGATTTTCAGGGCCGAGTACAATAACCTCAGTTTCATCTGAATTAAGAAGCAGGTCTCACAAATCACCTCTAACACTCGACTCCACCCACTCCTACCCTGCATGCACTCTGTTCTTCACCTCTTCTCTGCATGAGTGGGAGGCAGGTATAAACACGTGCATTGCTCTGACTTACGTTCATTCTTCTCCTCTCCAGTACAAACCTCCACCTCTTCAGGCTCTCCTCCACCCACCTTCTACTCTCACTATGGATTTGTATTCTCTGTGAAAATCATAGTCCGTGCAGACTCCTGCCTGACCTCATCTGTCTTCAGGACAAACAAGTAGGGGTCAGAGCTGATAATTGATTTAATCAAACCTCCCCACCTTGAGCCCATCTGTCCCTACTGCGCATCTCACAACTTACCGTCCTCATACATGCCCTGCACCAACCCTACATACTTCTCTGCCACTCCTGAATTCCTCACTGCACGCAGCAGTTCTATACTAAGAAAAAATGCAGTTTTATGCTGCAACCCCCCCAAATGCACTCCCTGAAAGACATCTTTACCCAAGAAGGTTTGAAAAAAAATGTTTTAACTCTCTGATTCCTGTATGGATTACGTTTATTTAAATTTGTTATGAAAATTATTTTTCCTAAAAAAAGAAAAAGTTGTTCTGGGATTTAGAGAGAACTTTGGGGTCTTCACAATTCTGCATTTAAAGAAATAGAAATGTAAAACACTATAGCCTATGGATATGGTTACTAATTTTATGAATGTTAGTTTTTTTTTACATTGTGTAAATATAGACTGGGGAAAATAAGCACCTGCATTAGCCTTATTATCAGTATGACAAGTACAATAATGTCTATTTCTTGCTCCAGAGTTTGTATAATATTATAATCCATGCAGTATAGTAATGCCAAGACAGTTTGAAGTCTCTAGTCTGTTTGCAGGCAGTGACACTCTGGTAGTGCTGTTTGATGTCCTTTCACTACACAAAGACAAAGTCCAGTCATTTCTTTTGAACAGTAGCTGCAAAAACAGTAGCCCTATATACCTGATATATGTCACATAGACTTTGGCACTTTCCCACAATAAGCACAGGCATTCATGAAATGAAACAGGCTGAATTCAGTGAACTGAAGTCACAGTGTTGTGTACTAAGTCCCACTGGCGTACTGTTGTGATTTATGGTGACAACCGAACAAAACACCCATTGTTGTGTTACATTATTGTGAAACCTGTTTTTGTAAGTCACAATGTCTGCACACCCTAAAATTCTGTATATAAGAATATAATGACAGTTCAAAATGTAAGTGGGAAGTAGTTCAGAATTACAGACGTATTAAAACCGTTTCTTTCCATGGTCATTTTATCACAATGATGGAGGAAATCCTACAGTCACTTGTTGACTTTCACTATAATACTACAACTCGGTTTATTAAAGACCTGTCAATGATTTTCTTAGGAACAAGTGTATATGACTGTTCTTCTGAAATAGTAAAGTAGTAAAGCCACAAACTGAGAGAATACAACTGTGTTCATTTTTCATACAGGAATGTCTGATGACATATGGAGGGTGACATGACTTTGGCTCTGTACGCAAACGTAATAGATTTTCCAATGAAGGAACTGAGATGGATTTGAAGCATATCCTCTGGCTAAAATGTATTACATTTACCACAGTCCTCAATCAGCAATGTCTGGAAACTATGACCACCATCAAAGAATGTGTGCAGCCTTCACTGAAGCTGTGTTCAGTTGTTTGCCATCATTTCTCTGTCCATTCCCTTACAGGCTGATTTGAGTTTCATTTGTGCTGTTTCAGAGCTGTTTGGGCTTCTTTAGTTGTTGGGTTTTTTAGCCAAGTTTAATCTGGCTTTTCTAATCCTCAGACTGATGATTTGTTTGTAACTTGTGGTGAACACTGTGGATTTCCACTCATGGTAGTCTCTCTTTATGATACACTTTCCTCATAGACACTGTTCTTTACTTGGCTTCCTATCAGGGGTTTTTATTTTCCACGGAAAGGATCTTGTAATCGCCCATTACTGGGTTCTTCAACAACATTCAACAAGCTGCTGGAAACATTTCTTGAGAGATTTTGGTCCACGTTGACATGACGACAACACTGCTGCTGCAAATTTGTCAGTGGTACATGAATGGTGTGAATCTCTGTTCCATCACACCCCAAAGGTGCTCTACTGGATTGATATCTGACTACTATGGAGGCCATTTGCCTACAGTGAGCTCATTTTCATGTTCAAGAAACCAGTTAAAGCTTTGAGTTTTGTGACACGGTGTTATATCCTGCTGGAAACAGCCATCAGAAAAAGGCTACACAGTGCTCATAAAGGGATGCACAAGGTCTGCAATAATAGTAAGGTGGGCTGTGGCATGTAAATGATGCTCAGTTGGTACTAAGATGCCCACATTGTTACACCCCTACCCTGAACCGCTGTTACAAGGCAGGATGAATTCATGTTGGTTACTCTAAACTCGGACCCTTCCAACAGATCGTCACAGCAGAAATCAACTCATCAGATCAGGCAACATTTTTCCAAACTTCAGTCCAATTTTGGCGAGTCCATGTGAAATGTAACGTCAGATTTGTGTTCTTAGCTGGTGTGGGCTTCTGCTGCTGTAGCACATCTGCAATCAGCTCAAAGTAGTCTGACCTCTTGCATCAACACAGCATTTTTGCCAAGAGAACTGACTCTCTTTTCTTCCCCTTTTATGTCCTATTCTCTGTAAACCTGAGAGATGCTTGTGTGAGAAAGTCCCAATAAATGAGCAGATTTTGAAAATACTCAGATCAGCCTGTCTGGCACTGAGAACCACACCATGTTTCAAGTCACTTTAATCACTTTTCTTCTGATAGTTTGAACATCAGCAGATTGTCTTAACCACGTTGGCATGCCTAAATACACTGGCAAAGTTACTGCCTGTGATTGGTGATTTAGATATTTATGTTGAGCAGTCGAACAGGTGTACCTGTTGGCCTGTGAGTAATAGGCTATTGTGATGATGATATGATGATGATGTGATAATGATGGCTATATTTCACTTGCACTGACAACTTTTTCAGCTCATGTTGATCCCAGAAACAACTCCAAATACAACAGCCCTTTCAGCAGCCTAACCTATGTAATCAGGGGACAGTCTACCCCTGTCTGTGGAACAGCTTGGAATCAACAGTACAATAACTTTTGGCCTTTTGAAAAAGA